CCTGAGAGGAGGAGACAGAAACAGGTGTTTGATGAGAAGCTGGAGGGAACGATCCAAAACAGTCACATGACCGCCCAGCGCCGCTCCGCGTCTAGATGTCGTTAACCAGTAACGTGCACGGGCGAAGCTGGTTTCACTTCCTCGTTTGTCTTTGTGGTCATCTCGTTTCTATATTCCGAGTCTCAGACAGGAAGTCGTGAGACGTCCTCCGCGGTAACGCGTCTGTCTGCACAGACCTTTGAATCAAAGCTGGCAGTCTCTGCTTTGGGCTGTAAAAGCCGCCCACGAAGAAGAGCCTGCAGAGTACTCGAGTACAGAGCCAGCTCGTGTGCTGAACATCGATCCGAGCGATTCGATCCCGACCCGGAAGAAACGGGAATGACTTCTGTATTTCTGGTGCGTCACGGCTGACTTTATTGACCTTTGAGATGTCCAGCCTGACAGACGGTAAAACCTTTGACCTCGTCAGTTCTTGTCCCGTCCTGCTTTGACACTTTGCGACAGTGGGGCAGAAGAAGGTCCTTTTAGCAGGAAGAGACGCCCAGCTTTACTGCTTTGGCATTTTAAGCCATTAACTTATTCCATCCATTTGCTTCCGCTTATCCTTTTCAGGGTCACGGGGGCGCTGGAGCCAATCCCAGCTGTCATAGGGCGAGAGGCGGGGTCCACCCTGGACAGGTCACCAGTCTGTCGCAGGGCTCCATGAACTTATTGTGTTATTTGAACGCCCCACAGAGGAGCGGAGGACGCCACAGCCACACTCACTCTTCATAGCTTGTTAACCTACAAACGTGGAGCGGCGTCATGCCGGCGTCTCCTCTGTTTGAATCTTTGACATCAGTAATCATCCTGTTAGAGCGTCATGCTCCACCAGGGGGCGCCCTGTCCCCGTTTCTGTTTGTTCTCCAGCGTGTGGGAACAGCTTTGGTGTGGATGCAAACTGTGACACAGTCATCGTGCATCTTTCATTAAACCAGCCGTGGACACGCCGTCAGGGGGAGGGGACAGCTCAACCATACAAAGACATGATCGTGGATTTCAGGACGCGCCTGTGAGCGCACTGACCTCTGGATTCATGGAAGCCCAGCGTGACGTGAGCGTCGAAGCCCAGACTGAAGTAGTTGTTGAAGACGTCGATGGGGAGCTGAAAGGAAGCAGCAGAATGAAACCGTCAGATCCTCCTCGGGTGGGCGTCGGCTCTCACGGGTGGGCGTTAAACTCACCTTGTCTGTCTGGTGTTCGTCCCGGTCCTCGGGCCGCGCCTCTGGGTTTGCCTCCACGTTCAGGTTCCATCGGTCCAGCTGCACGATGTTGCCGTCCTCCACGTGCGAGAGGATCTTCGTTATCGGTTCGTCGGTGTAGCCCTGGGAGAGGAAGAGTTACACAAGGAGCAACGCTGGCTCCTGTTTTCACAGAAGAAGAAGAAGCGTTCACACGTGATTTTCTTACACGAGTCCTCTGAGTGGACGTGCTTCAGTATTAAACTGCAGTGAAGCTTCTCCACTTTT